AAGCACAAACTCAACTGTGGGAATGATCTTTAAAGAAAATGGAAACTCAGGAAGGAAAAATGAGTGGCAATTCTCAAAATAAGCAGGGGTTAGAATGAATGGCTCAAATTTTACTTAGACTTGTTTTTTTTTTTTTTTTTTTTTCTGAAATAGTCCTTAGAAGAAGGTTAATACTTTAAATAAAGAATATCCTTTTTAAAGAGCAACAATTGACATGAATGAATCCCACATGCTTGCCTTAAACTTTTCTGCCTAATAATGTGCAGCTGCAGCTGCTAAACATCTTGAGATTGAGAGAAGGCAAGGAATATTGGCTTTGTAATTTTGTTTTTTGTTAACTTCTAAACTGTCATCAGCACTGAAAAAGGCTATAAACCAGTAAGTCATTGTAGCTCACTGATTTTGAAGTAAGAGTTACAAAAAGAAAATCTCTTATTTTTTTATCTTTACTTACCTCATTTCCTTTTAGGTGTAAGAAGTCATTTGAGCTTGTAGTCTATGGCTGTATCTTTACAGGAAATAAAGTAGTAGTCCTCCCTTCAGTTTAACTTTAAAAAAAAAAGTGCACTTACAGTTACAAGACACCAAAGCTTAGACTTTTCTAGGAGGACAGATGAGTTTCTATGCATGTGTACTTAGGATTTGACTAAGCCACAAATGGATTTTCTTCCCTCCCCTTGAATTTACTTCCATTATTTACCTCCATGTGTATTCTTTTTTAGTTCCTTATCTTAAATTTTTATCACTCTTCTTCAAATGTTCTTCCAAATAATTGAGTCTTGCTATGTGGTTCAGTCTGGCCTCCAACTCAGGATGATCCTCTTGACTCAGCTTCCTCAATAGGGAAATTACAGGCATGCCCCACTACACTCGACTTAGTTTCTCCATAGTTATCTTTTAAACATAATATCATTACACCTTTACTTTTATTGTCAACCACAGCCTCGCCTGGCTTCCCACTCTGTAAGATGATGGTAACAGCATCTCTAATCCACTTTGGCTCTCTTCCTATTCCCTTTCATCTTATTTTTAAAAGATGTGCAGTGTTTATACTCTATTTAGTTATAACCATGATCATATCTTTATTTTTCACTTGAAGAGTTCTAAAATTATATCATTAGTAGTATCATTTAGATGGAGTCAGTTAATATACTGTGATTATATTTTCTTCTTTAGATGTTATTTTTTATTCCCTTGGAGTTTCTGTTTGCCTTCCCTTTATTCTTGTACCTTTGCCTCTTTATTTTAGAATTGATTATACGACATATTTCATCTACTGTGCTTTTTACCTGACAGATTTCTCTTCATGACCCTCCATCTTTTTACCCAAATAAGCTCATCATCTAGTTTTGCTGTACACTGTCAGTCCCAGACATCCTCCTAGACATTACTGTCCTTCTAAAGTATTCTTGTTGTTTTCTTCCTTTCTTACTCTTTTTATTTTTCAGTAGTAAGTCACCATATATCCTATCCTGAGTAGATGGTGAATCTTTTGATCCTTTGTATATTTGAAAATGTCTGTATTATTCTTTCACATTTGATTAATTGTAGTTAGTAAAAAGTTACATGTTACAAAATATACTTCCTCCGGTAAAGTTATCATTAAACTGTCGTTTTTTGTGCGTGGTTCCCAGATTCTCCTCTCAGTCTTGTACTATTCCTGAGTGATCCTAAATTTTGACTCCTGTTTACTCTCTCTCTCAAATGCTTCAATAATAAACCTTCTCAGGTCAGCCCTTACTTTTAAAGGAGACATTATTCTGGTAAGAATTCAATTCATTCGAAACTAGGCTTCATGTGGCCTAGTTTAAAGTGCTTTTCAAGGCAGATTCAGACTAACGGCATTATGTAGTTTATCTGTTTATAAACTAGTTAACTTTTCTTCTATAGGTTCTTCAAGGTTGTGAAACTTTGAGAATAAACAAACAAAAATCCTTTTTCCCTTTACAATGGAAATTCTAGAAATAGCTAAAACAAAATATGCCAGAAACCTTTAAGTGCATAGACTATCACACAATTAGAAATACTGCTTAGGCATTCTCATAGTTGCTGGTAGAAAGGACAGATTTCAAAGATAGACAGGGAGGAAGGGATAGAGAACGAGAGGGGTGGGGGAGGGAGAGGGAAAGAGGGCCATGAATGAGGGTTTGGAAGCACTGGAATAACTTGGCTCACTTAGCCACTTATCAGCTAAATATACAACACTTAATCTTTCTGAGCCTTGTCAGCCTGAATAGCATATGGAGAAGTATTCTAAGAGTAACAAGTTTATTTGGAAATTGTGGAACATTGCAATGAGGAGACACATTCTGTCATAAACTAGAAATGGTTTCAAATGTATTAAAAATATCGAGGCAAAGTGAAGCTATTTAAGGAGAATAAGAAGGATTATGCAAGTTGTCTTGAAAGAATAGATTTGGGACACGAGGATTAGTAACAAGGCTCATAGCAGTACAGCATTAGATAACTGTGGGACAGACACCCTCACCTAGTATTCTTTGTGTTAAGGCTGTGCTGGCCTTTGTGCAAGTTGTGGTTTTGGCAGAGTCTTTCATGAAAAGTTCTGTTATCGGGCATGCATGCCCAAAATCCTCTCCTTCATAGTCTCCTTGTCCATTATTTATTTTTGTACAAGCTGGCAAAGTGATTTCTCTTTGATTCCAAAAACTTGTACAACCTCAGTCCTGCCTTCATTTATTGAAATCCACAGACAAGCATTCAATACCATTTGTACTTCTGGTGTTGGGAACTCATTTGGCAAAGAGTAAAATACGTGGAAATCTCTGCCTTCATAGAGTTTTAATTCATAGAGTTTACGTTCTTGCCAGAGAAATGTAAGAAACAAATAAGCAAAGTAGGATGTGAGGGGTTTATTATTACTCAGGAGAAAAATAAAGCAAGTTTTCAGCTTTCAGCTGAAATGTTGAATGACCTGTGCCACAAAGTGTCCTGTGGTCTTTATAATTTGGTGATATGTATGTCATAGTTCAGTGATCATAATAATCCTTGTTCTAACTTGTTTTGTAAAATTCCCACGTGTTTCTTTCAAAAGTTGATTTGAACATTCTTTTAATGTTGCCATAGGTCATATCCTGTATTAACAATGATTAAAACCATCCATGCACCTGTGACTTTTGGTTTCTGTATACCGTGCATGTGTTTTGGACTACCTTTCCATTAACTGTCATCAAAAGAGTCCAGTTTGCATGAATATAACTGACTTTTTGGTAGTATCATCTTCAGAAATCAAAGGATTAAGATAGTCTTGTTAATTTTTTAAGTTCCTAAAACAAAAATAAAGCTTTTAAATTTCTGCATTCACAATGGTATCAAAAAGAATAACAACATCACCCACTCATTGAGATCCAGCACGATACTAGGAGCTTTTCATTCATTTTATGTAATTTTGTAAAGGAGTTATTACCCTCAAACTGTTGGTAAAATTTACAGCTCGGGAAGAGACTGCCACTTGTCAGAGGTCATCCAACCAGTGAGCACATCTATAAAATGAGTTTTTTTGTGTGTCTTTGTGGCGATAGGATTGAACCTAGGGCCTTGCGCACGCTGGGCTCTGCCACTGAGCTACATTGCAGGCTGAGATTTTTTTTTTTTTTTTTTTTTTT